TACTGCACCTCCCATGTTCATAACACTCACACCTGGGATCACCATTTCATTTTAGCGTCCCGGTGAAATGGAAAGGTGATCTTAATCTCTCTCTCGCTCGATTGCTCTCTTTCCATTTCTTCAGATCTTTAAAGGGATAGTTGCCCAAAAATGAAAATTCTGTCATCAATTACTCACCCTCGTGTCATTTCAAAGCTGTATGACTTTCTTTCTTTTGTGAAACATGTCTCAATGGTTTTTTTGACCACACAATGAAAGTCGATGGGATCCAAACTTTTTATTTATTGTATGGATAAAAACAGATAAAACATTTTTTTAAATATAAGAATGTCTTTCCAAATCTGTATGACTTTCTTTCTTCTGAGGAAGACAAAAGATATATTGAAAATTTATTTTTCCCCCATACTGTGATAGTCAATGGGGGTCCAAACTTTTATTTACTGTATGGATAAAAACAGATGAAACATTCTTTAAAATAAGAATGTCTTCTCAAACCTGTATGACTGACTGAAAAATGTCTCAATGTTTTTTTTTTTTTTGACCATACAATAAAAACCAATGGGGTCCAAACAATATCATAACATCTAAGTCTTAATGTGAAAATTCCTTTGTTAGGGTCTTCAGGGTATTGCACTGACAGTATTCTTGATTAGATAAATCACACCGATTTGACGAGGAACATTTGCTCTGTTTGGAGGATAACAGATCTAGAATTAGTCATCGTTACTCTTGCCCGTCGTATCACCTTGGCACTGTTAACTACAGTTGGCGATGCAACATCCTCCATCACAACCCCTTGATTAAGTGTTAATCAACTGGAGCTAAGATAGACAAATTGTGCCTAAATGTTAACCTCGTGGTGCTATACTCAATTATGCTAATAATCTGTTCATTTGATGGTTAATGAAACAACTGAGACCTTGCTCTTGGTATTGATTTCCCATTTGGCGCTCTCTTAAGGGACAAGGTTAGTTAGGCAAGAGGTTGGCTCATTTATCTGATCTAATGATCAATGTCTCAGAGTGATATGCTTACACAATACACACGAGCGTGATGACAGCTCCTTGGGCACAAAAAAATAGCCGGCTGTTGAACAGCGAGTGCCCTGGTCAACTGTGAAGCCTCGCATGTCAATCCAGAAGGACAATAACCCTCTGAGCTCCAACTTGAGTTGCCATGGCAACATTATCTCAGCCCACCACTACCTGCAGCCATTGGACATCCTGATCACAATATCAATCCAATGCACACAGATTAGCTTGGAAGCACGCTTCGTCAATGACAAGAGCATAGGGTTAAAATTCACACAGAAATTGTGTTTTGCTTTTAACTCCACATAAATAAGTATTTTCTTAGAAAAGCCAGAAAGCTTGGTAAATACAGTGCAATGGCTATTGGCTAACATGGATGCTATATATACAGTAGTGTTGATCTCTTCTGTTAAATTACTGATGGAAATTATAATTGTTTTATTTTTTTCAAGAATGGTGACAAGACAATTAATTGCAATCAGTAAAGGACGTCTCTTATGCTCACCAAAACTGCATTTATTTGATGGAATTACAGTTAAAACAGTAATACTGTGAAATATTATTACAAGAACAGTTTTCTATTTCAATATATTTTAAAATGTAATTTGTGTCACATGATCCTTTAGAAAGCATTCTAATATGCTGAATTGGTAATAATAAGAAATATTTCTTGAACATTAATGTTAAAAATAGTTGTGCAATTTTTTTCAGGATTCTTAGATAAATAAATAGTTAAAAAGAACAGTGCTTATTTGAAATAGAAATATTTTGTAATGTTATACATGTATAACATTACAACATATTTATATTTCTTTAGTGTCACTGTTGATCAATTGAATGGTTCCTTGCTGAATAAAAGTATTAATTTCTTAAAAAATAAATAAATAAATAAAAACCTGATCCAACACTTTTCACAATTTGTTATATTAATGTTTTGATGTTTCAGAAGTTTAATTTTTATACATTTTTCAAAATATTGGAAAATTTGTTTATAGTTTGACTGTTTGACTTTTCTAATTTAAGACTAAAATTATTGAAAATGACAAAATGTTAGCTACATTTTTTTCAAAGCACAATAACTATGACCAAAACAATAACTGTAAAAGTGAACACTTCCTGTAAAAGCATAAAAATGTTGATTCATCCGGTGGACCGTTGTGTTGTCTCATCTTCACCAGAATTGTTTCAGCCCAAGTGCTGAGTCGAGATCTGAGCCTGATTTCCTGCCGCCCATGCCAGGAGTGAAGTGTAATAGAGATGTTTAAAGTGTATCTGCTTTGCTTGCATTCCATTATGTGCTGCTGCTAAAATAATAAGCGCACGGGTTACTTTGGGACACCTCCCTCTGAGCCACAAACGCATTGTTGTGATTGGCTCTTTCGTGAGGTTCCCTTTTCTAACTCCGAAAGCCATACTGACCGTGTTTGCAACACTTGTGTGCGGATCGTAGGAGCATCTGTCACATCTAAGAAAGTCATTTCGACAGCAGAGATTTATGTTCACTCTTTTCTATCCTCAAGACAAGTCACCTATCTATCTGTTTGTGTGCGAACTTGTCCCTCCTGACAGGCGAAACCCAAACAAACATAAGGAAACATGAATATTGCATTTCCCAAGATGCTCATGCGTCTATTACTGCACCTTTATGGTGTTAAACATGGTAAATTGAGTAGACGGGGGAGAGAAAGTGTCTCGCTGGGAGTGCTGGAGCGTCTCCTCTCCCCATCATGCAGTGCTCCAAGAGCCATATTAGCTTTTAATCAGATTCCACCAGTTCATTAAAGCGGTCTCCTTGTGCATCCCTTGGATGTTGAGGGATGTGGCCACTTTTTCATGTGTGAGAGAGTCTGGTAGAGCAATGCCCACTGTAAAGTACAGAGCCGCAACAAGGCTGGAGTCTTTTTTCCGAGACTCAGACGCCTGAGGGGAGTTTGCACAAAGACGTGGATTCTGTTAGAAAGTCTTGTCATTTGTGTGAATATACAAGAAGAGAAATGTCAGGAGACTCTGATAGCAGCAACAGCCTTGATTGTGTGCGTGTATGTAGATGCTATATGTGTGTGTGTGTTACGAGCAGTGTTGGGGGTAACGCATTACAAGTAACGCGAGTTACGTAATCAGATTACTTTTTTCAAGTAACTAGTAAAGTAACGCATTACTTTTTAATTTACAAGAGAGTATCTGAGTTACTTTTTCATTCAAGTAACGCAAGTTACTTTTTTTTACCAATTTATTGATTGAATGCATTACTTTTAAAAGTAACTTTCCCCAACACTGGTTACGAGTGAGCGCATGTGTTTGCTAGCACAGCTTTACCCTACAGACATGCAGCAGGTCACCTAGGTGATGCTGAATGTTCTTTCCTATCTACAGACCCCTTTTACACCTGGCATTAATGTGTTTCCAGTGAATGGATCACTAAAAACACTTTCAAAGGTGGTCTGGGATTGATTTTGATGACATTTAGCACATGCATCTTATAAATCATTCAAGTATTTTTGGAATTGGCATCTTGATAACCAACGAAGTCATCACTGATGTTGTTTTCTGCAGCAAGACTGTATTTATTCTATAATTTTTTATAATTTTAGTGTATTATATGTTCTTTTAACTGAGCTGTATATGCTTTATATTTCGCTCTCTGTTTTAATTAATTTTTTTCTGCCTAACAACATCAGGCAAAGGGATTTCTGAAAATTAGCCTTTTGCATTTACTTGAATGTCGATTAATGTACAATGTAAATGACTGAATCAATCAATCAGTCTTTTGTGTCCATATTCACCTACTTAAACTGTATTGAAGTTACTTTAAATATAATCCTGTATGTCACGTTGAGTTGTTAAAGCAATGTATTCATCATGTTAAAAAAGCATAGCTGACACTGTGCTCACTATTAAGCAAAATTGACAATTAAACAATTGAAAGCATTTGATTTATTCAAAACATTTTTTACAAAAGGTGGTTAATGATGAACTTCTCATGTAACATGTTAATGCTGATTTGTTGCACGGCTAAGTGCAATCAATGCGTGATTGGCTAACACTTTATTTTAAGGTGTCCCTGTTACACGGTACATATTATTACTATTATAATAACAATAAATTAGGCATAATTAAATGCAAGTAACCTTAAACCAAACCCTAATCCTAACCCTAACCATATAGTAAGTACATGTAGTTAATTAAAATAATTCAGTACTGAAATGTATAATTACACTGTAACAAGGACACCTTAAAATAAAGTGTAACTCGTGATTGTGATAACTTGTACATATAACGTTCAAGCTATTCAATAAAACTCTTCTTTACCTGTTATAAGCTAAGCGAAGTTATTAGCTTGCTAACTGAAGGCTAGTAAAACCACAAAAGGTAAATGTTTATTATGATCATTTGTAGCTTCAAATATAAAATTTGATCTGTGATATATTTACATTTACATTATATTTAGTCATTTAGCAGACGCTTTTATCCAAAGCGACTTACAAATGAGGACAATAAAAGCAGTCAAAACTAACAAAAGAGCAACAATATATAAGTGCAAATGACAAGTCTCGGTTAGCCTAACGCAGTACACGTAGCGAGGTGTATATATATACATATATATATATATATATATATATACATACACATAACTTGATACTGTATTTATTCTGCATTCTCTCAACACTGACATGATGTAGCGTTACAGCTTTCCTACTATGCAACATTTCTGTGTCACTCACTCTTCACAGCCATTTAGGTGTAAAATACCAGCCAAAATATGGCCCAGATGCGTTTGTTTACCCTCGGCCATAAACCTGATCTGTTTACTCACTGCATACCGTGATGACATCATTGCCTGTTGCATTGTAGCCTGCGTTATTGTTCAGAGCTTGCTAGGTTTGACTCAATCACGGAAAAGGTGAGAGGAGTCACACGCAGCAGCTTTCTCATGCCTTTCTCTTTTTTTCTCTCTCTCTCGGCTCGCAGACGCCATCAATAACAGGATGTTAATGCTAGACGGAATGCCTGCAGTCCGAGTCAAAGCAGAACCTCTGGAATCTGAGAGAGGGGTAAGAGAACAGTTGTTTTTCATACAATTTTTGTCCTAACCTCCCATCTATACTCCTGTACCACCCTCTACTTCTTTCACCCCTCACACACCCACCCCCTCGCTGTGATACCCCTAATTACTCCCAGGCGCTTGTGTGTGTGTGTGTGTGTGCAAAGCAGCCCTGATGTGGAGAGCCACAGCTGGAGCAGGAATGCTCCCAGGGCTTACAGTCAGGGCCACTGCAGCCAGGGCAGCCATTTTGGCAGGGCTCAAGCACAGATGCAGAGACACTGCTGTAGGGAGTCGTTCTCTCTTTTTTGTCATTATTTCCTCATATGCTGCTTACTTAAGTGCACATGTACTGTACATGATCATCTAGGCTCACCTCCTGGCACTATTAGAGTATCTATCAGGGGTTTTTAAACTGGGGTCCAGGGACACCCAGGGGCCCGCAAGTGAGTGCTACACTTTCAGAAACAGCCCTAAAATATACACTACATAAAATACCTTAATCTTAAATATCTTTTTAAAAAATCTTTCTGAAACAGAAAAAAGGTACAAAACAGGTACAAAAATTGTCAGGGAAAAAAAGGTACAAAAAGTACAAAAACTGTCTGGGGCGGTTTCAAAGGTACTTATCAATAAAAAAAAATAAATAAAAAAAATCTAAAATATTAATCAAAAAATACTAATATGTACACTTTAGGGACTAATGCATCTTTAAATTAAAATGCACTAAAATGCACCTTTAAGGGATAAATATGGTACGAAGGTGTGCCTTTTGAAAAGGTACTACCCCAGTGACAGCTTTTGTACCTTTTATTCTGAGAGTATAGGACGTCTGCGAAGCACTTCAGAAAGAATGTTTTTAAAGATATTCTAGGACTGTTAATTTCTTACTTTCTTTTCATCAAAGAATCCTAAAAAAAGTCATATGTTTCCACCAAAGTGTTAAGCAGCACAACATTCTGAAGAATCATATGACACTGAAGACTAGAATAATGGCTCCTGAAAATTCAGCGTTGCCATCAGGGGAATAAATTACATTTTAAAATATATTAAAATAGAAAACAGTTATTAAATTTTTTAAATAATAATTCACAATATTGCTGTTTTTTTACTGTTATTGATTAAATAAATGCAGCCTTAATGAGTATAAGAAGCTTTTTTCAAAAACTTCTTTCATAAAAACTGACTTCAAGCTGTTGAACAGTAGCACATCTTTAAAAAAAAACACTATAGATTTTGTTTTTATTTGTTAGTGTTAAAAGCTAAGGCTGTCAATAGAATAAAGTAATCATGATTAATCGAATAGATTCCAATATTCATCTTTTCAGTCAAAATATTTAGCTGTATTTTTATTTTGGAAAAAGGGCCCCTCACAAGGGGATCCTCATATTCCATGGTTTTTGGCATCAAAAAGTTTGAAAACCCCTGAACAATACAGCTAACCTTTTAGCATTATCATTAAGCCTTTGACTCAGGAATGCATGACTTGGTATATAAAGTTAATTCTGTGCCACGTAAGTGCATTAACATATTGATCAAATCCATTACAGTATAAGTAATAGAGCCATTCAGTCATTCATTGTGATGCACTGTTTAGTTGAACTGCTTCACATTATTTGCTCAATTAATGAAAAGCAGAAAAGCGGATATGGATAGATGCACTATTATGAGTATAAGAAACTTTTTTCAAAAACTTCTTTCATAAAAACTGACTTCAAGCTGTTGAACAGTAGCACATCTTTAAAAAAAAAACACTATAGATTTTGTTTTTATTTGTTAGTGTTAAAAGCTAAGGCTGTCAATAGAATAAAGTAATCATGATTAATCGAATAGATTCCAATATTCATCTTTTCAGTCAAAATATTTAGCTGTATTTTTATTTTGGAAAAAGGGCCCCTCACAAGGGGATCCTCATATTCCATGGTTTTTGGCATCAAAAAGTTTGAAAACCCCTGAACAATACAGCTAACCTTTTAGCATTATCATTAAGCCTTTGACTCAGGAATGCATGACTTGGTATATAAAGTTAATTCTGTGCCACGTAAGTGCATTAACATATTGATCAAATCCATTACAGTATAAGTAATAGAGCCATTCAGTCATTCATTGTGATGCACTGTTTAGTTGAACTGCTTCACATTATTTGCTCAATTAATGAAAAGCAGAAAAGCGGATATGGATAGATGCACTATTTTCTTGGAGAGAGAACTAGTTGCGTCTGAGAGCCAACGGCATACCCTTGTTGTGTTCTACTTCACAAGCCAGCATAGCAACACCTTGCTTCCTTCCTGTGAAAAGGCTGGTAGACATATTTATCCATATGCGTCAAAATCCTGCCAAGCGCCAGGAAGTGTGCAACCTACACAATGACTCTTTGAAGTGCATTCCATCGCTCAAGCATGGTCGTCGTTCTGGTGGCCGCTTGCCAAGACCTTGCTGAGAATGGTTTGCCCCAGTTAATGCCCGCACCAGCTAGACAGATATCTCACGCAGGATCCCCGAATAAAGTGTAAGTCATCAGCAAAGAGCCAAGGTGGAAAGTACGGAGGAGAGAGCGGTTGAGGTTTTAAAACATCTCTACAGAAACTGACGTTCAAACAAGAACAGGAATCTGCATGCAAAAAAGCTTTTTATCACCTCAAAGCCTTTGATTTAGGTTTTTTTTCCATATGAAAGGAGGTCATGTGTGCTACGGTACTCCATAGTTCGCAGTTTCAGTTTGCTGTTGTTTACAGTTTCATCTGGTTTTCTTTTCAAACATACAGCCTAATGGATCAGCCAGTGATACCATCTCAATAATCATGAGCACCTTATGAGTGCAGTTCTTGATTATTTGCCGTTTTTATCTTCAAGTGCTTCGAACCTGCCTTTGAGCAAAATAAAAACACAGTGAAACTAAATTCAGAGCTCTACAAGGCCAAATTGACTAGAGTGTAAAGAGTGGAGATGAGATCTATTTGAGAAAGCGGTTTGTCTCAGATGGTTGCAAAGACCTGAGGCTACAGCGGCCGCAGACACAGTTCCACATAATGTCTAATATACACACACAAACAAAAAACGTATGCAGTATAAAGCCTTTTAAGCCTACCCTAAAGGGTACATCACAAAATTCAGTAGAACTAGAGCGAGAGTTCACTACAGACAAACATGCTACTGACTCTGAGTGATCTGTTTCAGCAGGAAATATGGAGGTTGCATTACTGCTCCAAGAAACTGACCAGAAACGTTTTGTCCCTTTTGCTGGGATCAACAAAGGATCTCTTAGGTATTACAGAGGCAGGTTTTTCAATTAGATAGCAAGTCTAAGTATGCTGATTTGGTCATTAGCGGCACCTCCCTTCCCTTTCATACAACCCTCATTAGTAGGTTGCTGATTGCATGCTATGCTAATAGAAATTCACTTACTGGGTTTGATTACCACCCTGTCTGTGCAGCTGAGCAGTATTTTCCAAGACTAAAATACTAAAATTCACTAAAAATCAGACCATGTTCTGCATTTATTACAGAAAAAATGGTCATGTACAAAATACATGCATTTCCTATAAAATACGGAGTATTTTAAGAGTTAGTATTTGATTTGCGATCAGGTTCATAAATGTTAAATGACATGATGCGTTTCATCTGAATTAGCAGATATATAACATTTACTCAAAACTTTCATTTAAATGTTTAAAAAAATCTAGAAATATGGCTGAAGGTTGTAACACTACTTTCCCCTTTTGCGTCTACTGGACCTATAAAGATTGAACAAAAGGGATATATCTGTCATGTTTTATGCATTTATTTAATAATGCCTTGCTTCAATATTTTTATTAATTAATTAATTTTCCCAAATCTTTGTTTTATTATTAAAATGCTTAGTTTTCAAATGCAAAATGTAAATCTTTCAGCTGACCCACAAGAGAAAACTGAATTGTAGATCTATTATCCCATGATAGCCCCACTAGTCAATTGAGTAGAGCTGTGAAAAATGTTCATTGTGCTTTTCTTTTAGCCCAAAAACTCCTGACTAAATCACCATTGAACCATTGTCAGCACGGTCACACTTTGCAGAAAGGGGTCTCTTTGTTCTAAAAGTACTGCTCTTTTCCCTGCCCAGTCAAATTAGTATTGTAACCCTGACCTTGAGGTCATGTGTCTTGACCTCTGAGCCCTGAATGACCCAACCTGGGTTTTTACGGGTCACGTCAGCATATTTAATTGCCTGACATTTGTTTGTTTTTGGATTCAAATGCAGTTTTATTGTATCGCATACTGCTGATTCATGGTCAGCAGCGCTCAGAGTGGCTCCACGTGTCCAGAGTAAAAATAGTATGAGCTGGGGGGGGGGACTGTAATTTGCTACAAGCCCACTCAGTCTACATAAAGAAAAGTGAGTCTCCATGATTATTTTCTTTTAGATGAGCAAGCAACATTTCATACAGTGTGACACGTGATGTTTGATTTTTTTGATTCACAAACAAATTACATGTTTGATCCATTTTTTTTTTTAATTCACAAGATTTACAAAACTGTCTGCAAACCCAGTTTGAGTCTGACTCTTTCAGTCAGTGAATCATTTACTTGTTCAAACTGTGTTTTTAAATGATTCACAAAACAGTCTGGTAACCCAGGTTGAATCTGACTCACTGAATCGTGAATCATTTTTCAATCAGATTTGAAATAAACAGAACTGTTGCTTGTAATAAAGGATACATACAACAAAGCAGTTTTTCTCTAATAAATTACATAAAAAGTGCTCTTTGTATCTTTGTTTAACTGTATATGTTAATAATCTTTAAATATTTAATTAAACATTTGAATTAAAATGTGTGTGTGTGTGT